TTATACATACATTGTGCTTTGAGGTGTCAGGTCAATCGGCTATGCCGTAAATTTCTTTTGATTACTGATTTAAGTGATGAAAGAACGAAAACAATTACGGTATTTTTCTATTTTTAATTGATATATGTAAACTGTATCAAAATCTTTTTTTTTGCCTACAACAATCAATGTAGTTGTGTTTAAAATTTATGGAGTGCCACATAGGGTCATTTAATATGAACTGATTATTTTCTGGAAACCCTAAGCTAAGAAAATATACATACATTTTGTTCTGTAGACGAACATTTTCTTTTCTTTTCATATAATATATAAATATAATCGCCCATGCCCTGTAAGTTACCATGAAAGTTTCGTCACGTGAACAAATACAAAGTCCGTCACGGGATTCGAACCCACCGTGAAATAAAAGACTTTGACCACTCAGTCACAGACGCCTATCATTGTGTTATCAAATAACACACTGATGAGCAGCAAATAATCTGCTAGCCATTTTAATTGACGACTGTGGGGATAAGTGATATTATGATCATTTTGTCATTGTCAAATTGAGCTGAATTGGCTTTACATTTACAGAAGTATTTTTTCCGCAGCGTGAGTTCTCTATCGTTCATACGAATTATATCATAAACATTATAGAAATTATGGCAAAATATTAACCTATTTGGACTCACCTGTTCACTCACTATGTACCCATGGATGGGCATAATGTCACTTTGCATTTTGAAGATGTTACATAGTTTAAAGTTAAAGTTTATCTCAAGATATTGCAAGATCTAATTGGCGATAAATGATGCCTGTTTAACTAATAAATATGTTCCATGCCATGTAAATCAAAGTACTTTGCATTTTATGTATATAAATGTCATTTTATTGTATTAAGAGGACTATTTTTAACAATGATCACAATGCATCATTCACGTAACAAACAAATACTCTTTTTCATGAAATGGAAGATTGTTGTTTCTTGCTATTACGGTGATGCTTTTTATGTTCGTTTAGAATATTTTTGCCAAGGTTTACTTTCTTCTTTAAACGAAAATTTCAAAATAAATTATACCTCATGGGAAGTGTTCTGTAAACTATTATAAATTAACAAAAAAGGCTTTATATTTCTCAGGAGACATCCGAACATAATAAGAAAATGACGGCACCTTCATTTGATTTGATAGTATGCTTTTAAATCATTATTGAATACAGAAAAACATAAGTCCCAGATGATAGGCGCAAAATGGCATTTTTTTTGCAAGAAAATACTTTCTTTCTATTGTTCCGACGTTTACAATATGTTCTCATAATTCTCTCATCGAAAATGTCACCAGCCAGAAAATGGTTTTATACAAGGTGATAGCCTCGCTTCATGAAATCACAAACGCTACACAATATGCAAAGGAATTTCAGTTACACATGATGAACATGTCATTGAATAAATTTTCTAGTTGCTTAACTTGCAGTGCAAATATTTCAAATACATGTATCTCTCTATTTGCCTGTTTATATATATCTTCTATTTTATAATGAACTCTATGTTTTACAGAGAAGAGATTTTAAATGAATGAAATAAATACGAAATATAAAAGACATGTAAACACATTATCAATACAAAAATAACTTTACTTTGAAATATTATAAATAATGTAAAATTAATTACTGTAATAAAAGTAATAATATTTATTTACCGGATAACTAATTTAACATTTTTGAAAGTTACTACGCGAGATGAGCTATTTATTTCGGTCTTATTAACAATGTTATAGTAATTAAAATGTTTATTTTTGGAAAGTTCTGGTAAGAAATAACGTAAACAGTTTTCATGGTTGAACGTACTTTTGAAAGGTTTGAGGTTATTATGTGTAGTAGATATGGAAGTCTCTCTGAGCCGAATTTAAAGACTTGCGTTCCAAACATGGCGCCGACAATGTAAAACTTATATTCCCAGCAGCTATACTAGTAAAGGGCACTGTTTACAAAGACTTATTTCCAGACTGGCACTCGGTACTCTCACAATCCCGAGTCACTAATGTTAATGATAGAATCATCAAATCATTAAACGAGCACACCGATTAGAAGACGGATTGCATTAACCATCCACTGTTTGCGAATAAAACTGTCTGCCCTCCAAGCCAACCTCCTAATCACCAGCCAACTGTAGTATCCAGCAACACCAACGGAAACAATGATAAACTCTTGAGGCAATCACATACTTAGTATGATAATTCTGGTAATAACACCACCGAAAGTGATGACACACTTTTAAAACTATTACACACACCCAACGATAATTCAAGCGGAAACTCCCCCAACAACTCACCTCGTGGTCATCTTCATCGTAGCAGATCAACATCCCGACGCAAACGCGTTCGTATACGTAATTTATCACCAGAATCTAGAAGTCATAGGTCACCATCTACCCAACAAATTCGTTAGCAGTTCAATTCCAGTTGTGACCCTTCAACTACTCGCCGTGGACAACTGACACAACAATCAAGTGTAACATAGGCCAAACAGGGGCCAGTGAACTCAAATACAATTAACCTTAGTCATAAAACTAAATTAAACGATAAATACACATAAAAAGTTATGGTCTTTGGGTCAAATAGACGCGGCACCCGAAATATTAATTTTTCTATTAATAACGAAATACTCGAGATTACTGATGAGTATAAATACCTAGGTGTTGTATTTAGCCAATCACGAAAATACAAAAAAGCGCGTGACCATTTAATATCACAGAGTAGGAAAGCAATGCATCTTCTGTATAAACGTATATTTAACCTAAATCTTCCTATTGATCTACAACTTAAGCTGTTTGATAATACAATTTTGCCTATATTAATATTTTCGTGTGAAGTTTTGGGAATAGAAAACAATACAGATATAGAGAAAGTCCACTTAGAATTCCTTAGAAAAATTACAAACTTAAGAAAAAGTACTCCGGCTTATATGCTTTATGGTGAAACGGGTAGATATCCAATAGACATAATTATTCAAAGTAGAATCATAAAGTTTTGGAATAAAATTATATATAGCGATCAAAATTAGCATTCAAGTATTATTTATAACATAATGGTTCATAGTGAACACCCATTTAGATGGTCAGAATTTGTTCAGAATATTTTGAACAATACTGGTCACTCATATTTGTTTTTGAATCAATCTTCCATAACTTCCAAAAGTATACATGTCTTAATCAGGCTGGGGAATATTGCCGATCGAGCTATATAGCTCGTTTGAGCTATAATAGCCCGTTCGGGCTATAAAAAGAACAAAAGAAAGTGTCAAATGTCCTTTAAAAAAAACGACTATCCGAAAGCGCATATCCGAAGTATACCTAAACTACTCCATGTTCCCTAACACTTCGAAACGTGACATTGGTAAACACTAGCAGCCTCCGACATGCTGCGCCCACACATATAATGTTGGGAGAATATGTAAATTTATCTTATTAAATAGTCACCTGCATGTAAATAACTCTTATTTCTTCGTTTCGTACTTTTCCCAACACTGCAAATGTACCGGAAGTAATGAAAATACACGAACGAACACGCAAATGTTGTCATCTTCGTCAGCATCTGAAGCTGTCTAAAAATAGTAACAAATGGTAAAGGGTAGCCCAAAAATATTCTATTCCTTCAATTCTTTCAAATATCCGTTTGTTTACTTTTTTGTTGTTTTTCGGCCACTGAATGAAAAAAATTCGTTTTAACTCAATCATTGTTTTAATGTAGAGGTCAAAGTTGAAGTCCGTGATTTACTATATACAGGTCAATACAAGGTTATAAGGAGGGAATGTTATTTTTGTATACAGTGTATTCATTTTTCAACTGTTAAGATGCCTTCATGCGGATGCAGAGAACATGATGTCATTTGTGATGATGGTGAGTCGGGGCCCATCTTTAAACTAAGCAATAAAAAATAAAAAAGGATACCATTCACATTTTAAGACAGAAAGAACTTATCAGTAAATATTGTAACTTTGTTTGTGAAAAATGTGTAAAATGGGTCGAAAATGATAATAGGGGTGTTAAACGCATTCGAAATACATGTGAGGCATCTGATGTCATTAAACAAATAAGTGAAGGTGGTTTTAGTGAAGAAGAGCTAAAGGATATTGTTGGTGCAATCGGCAGTTTTGTATCCGATTCTATTTATGAAGATAGTGTAAACGTTAGTGAAAGTTATATAAACCCAGAATTCCTAACATCTTTAAATTTGGAAGCCTGGTTGAAAAACCGTAATTGTATATTAACATCATTCTTATTAAATTGCTCCAAATCCACTTATACTGATAGAAAGAAAGTAGTATGTATAGCCAGTGGCGTTGAAAGTGTGTATAAAGCGAGAAATCAGAAATCAGTCACGCCGTTTGCTTTTGCAAATAACTTAGTGGCCTATTATATAAGCCACAGTAAAACTGTTGTTTCGTTTAATAATACTCACAAGCCTGCTGGGAGCTACAGGTCATTACAATCATGGCTAAAACGAATAGCCACAACACCCTTGTCTCGTGAAAATGAAATGTTGAAAAAAGATTCAATTGTCTTTTTTGATAATAATCAAATTTTAGCACGAAACTGGAGAGTTAATTATAACTACAAAAGCAAAGCAAGTGTTGTAACCACCACAAGCAATATAACATTTCAATCACAGCTGCAATACAATAATTTGTACTCTCCCAGCAACTGGCTGTATAACTGCGACCCCAACATTCCTATTCGTGAGATATTAAGCTCATTCCTACAAGAAAATGAGAAATCATACACAAAAATTAGAAATGTATTCCTCCAATCAAAAATCGAAAAGATTATAGAGGAATCAACTTTTATAAATGGCATTTTCAAGGACAGAATTAGCAGATTGATAGAAGGTAACGTATTTGTTTATATCATCTATAAAATTTAATTTGATAACTTCCCATTGCAACTAATTGTAATAATACCTTTCATAAAAAGTAATTGCTACATATATTAAAGGCACATTATACCTCGGTAATATGAAATATGTAAGAGGATACCTGAAGAAAAAATCTTAAAAAATGAAGTTAAATCGTTCATTACACGTAATGGGTCTTTAAATTTAATTATAAATGGTTGCTTCTGTAATATAATAATAATAATGCACTGTTGTAAAGTATCGCTTCATTGGTCAATTCTGACTTTAAAAAATATTATTGTCATACATCAAAATATGAAAAGTATATTGGAAAACATTTAAACCTATTTCATTATATGATATTGTATCAACGGCTGTTTTCAATATCAATGTCCTAAATCGTTAAAATGGTTATATACACGATTATCTGAAATTGAAATAATATGTTTTCCATGTGAGAAGTGTAAGTGTGCATTCGAAAGAAAATGAAAAGGTTGTAAGGTTATATAAATATTCTCACCTATCGAATGAGGTGATATCATCTGAGAGCCTTTGACATGGGCTCATAAAACCTTATAAGAGAAAATTTATTAAAAAATTAATTTATAGCATGATCAGAATTTTAATATCTATGCTTTAACGTTAAATATCATTTTGTTTTAGATAAATCTTTCATTTTTTTAAATAGGAGAACCTGTCTGTTCTCTTAATGACCAAAGTAAAGTACCTTACGATTGGGTACCAAATCAACACCTGGAACCTCAGCCGGATATTTCAATTGGTGAAATTTTGATGGATAATCCATGTTCGTATGAATCAGTTAAAAGAGTTATCAAAGTAAGTTACATGTTAAAAAAAATAAAATTAAACGTTGTTTTTTATTATTAGTGTAACCAATGGGTGAAAATATTAGCGTAATATGCAATTAAAATTTTATTATATACAACATTAATTTCTACGCTATAAAAATGATTATTTATGCATATATCTCTTAAAACTTATAAATAAAGTTCATTCATAACAATGCTGAAAACTAATTTTCAACACTTTAATTTAAGGAAATACGAAAAACTAGCGGAGTGACAGAAGATAACTTAAAAACATGGTGTATTATGGGATGCGACGGCCTTCCCTATACGCTAGGATCGAGACTAATTGAAAAAAATAAAGATATGCAAAATATCTTACTTATTCCCGGTAATATTATATTCAATTTTTGTCATATATAAATAATTTTTAATTGTTTTGTATATTCTTACATGATAATGAATGAATATATCAATATATCAGTCAGGCTGTTTCTGATTTTATTTGATGATTTTTTGCAAAATGTTTAAGTGACTTTAAAAATTTTCAAATATTAAATTAATAAATCACCGCTAATCACAACTGAAAAAGATGTTAATAAAAATATCATTATAGCATCAAAATATTTTAAATTTGCAATGCAGTGTTTGGATTCAGTGAATTACTCAAGGCTAGAAAATTGTAAGAAATGTCGATATGAAAATAAAAAAAAATATGATTGCAACATGTATTCTAAAATTGGTATTTTTTATCTGAAGGACACGGGCACATAGAGATGAATGTGGTAAAAGCTGCTTTTAAGTTACTGTGGGAGCCCATTCTACAGGACTTAAGTAAGGAATGTGGTTTCAAGTCACCAAGGGCACAAGTTGCGGCACAATCGTGTACTGATCACCACAAATCATACATGCTTTTGGAAATAATGTTTGAAAGTGCTTTGCAGGAGATCATGACAACTTTTATCATAAATAGTGTGCAGAATTCAATAACACCTAACATAGCCACTTTTTTTGATTATATAAAATCTTCAAAAGACAAAAATTATAGATTTATGTGTGACGCAATAATAAACTTTATTTTTCCAATATTTCTATATAGAGCCGGTGTTAGGAGAAACAATTTCGGATATATATCTGCAGCTAAAGCTAAATTTTTTAAACTATTTTTTTCTGGCGGAATGAAAAATTATCAGCAACTTATTATGAAAGATATTAAAACATACATCCTAGCACCTCCAGAAGTGAAGCATTTCTTACAGAAAACCCAATCTTTTACTGGTAAATCTACTGTGTTCCCTTAGGGCTACTGCGACAGACACATAAATAATAAAATATGCAGTACGCTGTCCAATTGTTTTCCATGTTTTCGTTCTTTAATTGAATTTTTTTGTGTTCGCGCGCGAATGTGTTAGTTGCGATTGCCCTAATGGTACACCATAAGAGTCATATATGATATATGATATATATATTTTTTTAATATTATTTTTTTATTGCTATTTCAATATTGATTTAAATGCATTATCAATAGTTACCAAAAATCGTTATAATTTTGTTTACAGAAAAGTATCTGTATTTAATACAACACTATATGTTTATTATTTAAAGTTATGAGAATGAAAACATTATTTATCATTATTTAAAAAATATATTTATGTTCAGTCAGTGGACACCCTTCAAAAGGAGAAGGTGGAGATTTCATTCTTGAAGCGATTAATAAGAAAATCCAAAGATGGTTGCCCCCGGGGATACCGCTTGAAAAACATTGGCGACAGGTGTGTCGAACAGCACATATACTTGATAAGGTTTGTTTATAAGCATAAAAATACAGTAAACCCTTTGCAGACCTGCCATATATACAGTGATCACCTCTTTCTAAAAACACGTTTTGTTCAAGAAAAAATTAAATTGACTGTTCATAAGTGTTTGTCTGCGCAATTGAAATATTCGATTCCAACAATTTAAATCACCGTACTACATTTACATGCATTATAATAAATATTTTGGACTTAATTTCTTTATTTCTTTGTAATTCATACTCCAAAAGTTATTGTCATTTATCCTTCATTTTAATAAAAAAAGAATGAATTATATTATAAAATGATGTTTTAGATTCGTGAAAATACTTTACAACAGTGTACAATAACCGAGGACAGATCGTCATATGTTTATAAAAGAGATATATCAAATGAAATAGAGAAATACCGGATGAGACTGAGGAAAATAGGATATCTTAACAACAAACAGACGTTATCAAGGTATTTGAAAGCATTGCTTCATTTCTTACGGCTGTCACCGATAAATTTCTAGCCAAATAAAATGGATGAATATTTTCATGGACTTATGTAAAACAAATTCAGGTATTGTATGTTATTTAAATCAAAATAATATTAAGAATTTTGTTAATATACATTATGTTTCCTGATTTCCTGTGAAAATTAATCACTACTTGATAATATACTTTTATTACCAAATTTGTTTAAGTTTATTACATAATAAATAGTTTATTTACTGTGAATTTTAGCCGACATACATCTGTTAATGGCGAAATTTTGGACCACGAGCTTTATTTGTTTGAAAATCAAATAAATGTCAATATAGAAGCTTTCCTGAATTGTCCTGAAAATCCGCAAATTACACCAGTTTTCACCACGGAGTTGCAGAGAACAACATTTCATTCCATTGAACGTAAAACAAAGGTATGTGTAATAGAAAGTATATTTAATTGTTGTTTCCTTCTATTATTGAAATTCAAATTATGGAATTCCTATGCAACACAGATATGTTTAAAAATAATAGAGATATAAACTATGAAATTATTTCATATTAAAGAAGCAGTTGAATGACATCATCGAGAGAGATCTCAAGGAAATTGAAGAAAACGGCAACATGGAAGACGCATATGTTTTTAAAAATAAGTGGATTAAAGTTAAAAGTAAGTAATTTAAGTTAAGAGTTTCAAAGATAAATCACATTTAATACAAACGTAATTAAAATGAATTTCATAATAATTTATTCTTGCATTAAACATTTACATATTAAATTTTCTTAAATGATTTTATATGTTGAGGACAATAAAATTTCACTTTATCTAAGTCACTTTCTTTTTTGACAACAAACCCGGTACAAATGGAATGGCACCAGTAAGTACACGATTCAAACTCGCAGTTTACCCAGATGTCTTTCTTCCCCTTTCTCATATTTTCTTTTCCACAGACTTTACAATTCTCCTCTTCTGCCTGATAATATATTGATGAAAACTGTTTATCACACATCAATTATTTTATATATATTTAAAATTTACATCGACATCATATCACTATAATAGATAATAAATAATTATTTTTAACCAATCATAATTATATAAAATGTTATAAATAGTTTTGGTTATACAGAAAATTGCATTGTGAACTAAATTTCTAAATGTACATGTACAACTTATAAAATATGTATATATTATACAAGAATATTTGATTAAAAACCAAAAAGTCCTTACACTAGCATCATCATCTTTGCTGGTGTTAGATTGTGGTGGGTCAGGATACACCAAAAAATCAATATCTGCATGAGATGTTGAAGGAGTATTCACATCCTTGGATACATCTGTGTTGTCTAAAGGGAAAGAAATTTTATAAATATTAATCATATTACTTTTGAGATTATGTTTATTTTTAATTTGAATATGAGTATTATGTAATTATGAAATATAAAAATACTATGTTAAAAATATATTTATGTTTATGCTCCTCCTCCTCATCAACATCATTGAATATCAGTTTTTGAATAATTAGTTATAATTACCAATACTATCCTCCCAGTTGTCAGTTCTCAAACACCCTTGCCGTCCCGACTCTGTTTTGTATGTTAGCTGCATTTGAGTGTTTGTTAATTTGGACAATTGTTTAATCTTAAAATAAACAAAGATAATCGTTTAAAAGAAACATTCATTTTAGGTCGGCCAAAACAAGAAATGCTTCAATTTTATAAAGAAATGGTTGCTTCTATAGAAAGTTCAAAGGCAGATTCAAATTACATTTCCGATGGTATAAAACTTTTGTTATAATTTTTCTTTATAATTTTAAGGCATAATATATGTTGTTAAAGCCTTTTCTAATTATGTATTGTAATACAACAAATGTAGTAAGAAAACAGAATAATCTTGTAAACAATAATTTTGTTTACCTTTTGTTGAATTGTTTTTAACCTTTTGCTCAATGTCACTGCGAAAAATATACTAATATACGGGAATATACGGTCCCGTATTTTTGACATATACGGGCGTGTACGGGATGTATTTGTCGAATATACGGACCAAGTATACGAGTCCGTATAGGGAACACCGGGTATACGGGAAGTCCGTATATGCAACAGGCATATACGGAATTCCGTATTTGCACCATATACATGTACGTATATTTGTTCGTATGTTTGAAGTATACGGAGAATAAAATCCCGTATACGGACTTTATCAAGATTGTTATCCCTAGTATACTATAAATATACCAAGGATATACGAGACCGTATTTTCTACATATACAGAGTATATACGGACTCGTATTTTCTACGTATACAGAGGATATACGGAACCGTATATTCTACATATACAGATGATATACGGACTCGTATTTTCCACATATACAGATGATATACGGACTCGTATTTTCCACATTTACAGATGATATACGGAATCGTATTTTCTACATATACAGAAGATATACGAATCGTATTTTCTACATATACAGGGGATATACGGAATCGTATTTTCAATATATACAGGGGATATACGGAATTGCATTTTTTAGCTGTACACAGGGTATACAGAACTGTATTATCGAGATAAAAGAAGGTACAGATACTATCAAAAGCATGCATTTACATATAAGTAACACGTATACATGACCGAAATGCAGGCTTGTACAATAGAACATGTTTGATTACACATTGTGAAATGGAACTGTAAAGTCATATGCTTAAGAACTTTATCTTCACAATTGGAGTATTTCAAATAATAAAATAAAAACCAAATCGAGCCACTCTTAAATATTTATTATTTCATAAACATATATTCAATATGTATACATATACATATAACAAAATAAACATGTCTCCGCTACAACAGTCATATATTGTTGTAAGCCTTATTCCAGATGGACACATTAATGTAGCGTTGCAACGGAACGGCGATATACCGGTATGTTGCAATACAGAGTCATGAAATACGTATCACGGTGCAGAACATCCGCACCGCGATATTTTCTTCAGAGATCGAATTATACATGTACATTTTTCGATATTTTCAAGCCGTAACCTTTATGAATTGCATGTTGTTTAAATCTAGAACAATCTATGCTAACTTGAAGTTCTTTTCGATTTATCTTAACAATGATTCATATGAGTCACTTATATTACACCCATAAAACATTTTAAAGATATTCATATCATTTGCTCGTGTTAACATTCACATGTTATTTTAGGAAAATGAGTCCATGGCACAAATTGATAATAACAGAAAGTTTTAATAATAAGCATTAAAATAAAAAATCCGTATTTACAGAAATTTGTCATTCAAACACTGTTCTTAAAAGCACTTAAATATATCAATCATCTATAGGCCAGTGTGACGGTGTCTATTTCGTGACGTAGGAAATGTTTTCTCCAGATATTACATTCTTCTTCGGCATGTGAAATAGTTATCACAACTTTCAAAAAGTCTTTACGCAAGCATTTTTTTAAGCGTATACATATATACAATTTTTTTTCTTACGCAAATTTCAAAATTATCTTATATCATTAGGATAAAGATGTCATTTATAAGCAACCATTTACACGGGATTTAAATGAAATGATTTATCTTTGACGGATGATAAGTTATATGTTTTTGTTATGAAACTTTTACGAATATAATATTTCACACTTGTAAAAGGAAACATTGGGAAAAAGTGCTGACATAATCATTTTGATCGTTTTACGTTGTATATTAGTATCGTTAGTAGGAGTCAATTCGTTTGAAAAAAAATGGTTTAAAATGTACAGATATTTGCTACTCAGATGTAGATCCTTGTTTACACAATGATATCCAGTTAAGTAAAAGGCGGAATACCCAGCTATACTTCTCATTTATATAAAAACGTAAATCTTAACAAATTTGGATTATTGTTTGTTTCAGTTTCAATTGTTTCATAAACTATCTCATCATAACTTCACAGCAACGAATGAATACCTTCAATATACAATAGTGTATATTAATATTGTTTTTATTGTTAAGACTGTTTAACTAGGTAAGTTGGCAATAGAATCTCTTACAGTGTGCCATCACTAAAAATAAAGTGATAATTCTCACAAAAATTATAAATCAAAATATCCTCCCTTGCCTATAGCATTAATCTGATAAAATATACGTATCATATGTGACAATTGCATAAAATAACATAGGAAATATTTTAGTTAATACATGCGAATGCGACAGTATTACGTGCGCACGTGAAACATTTACGTATTAACGCCATATCATGATATGTTTCACGTGCGCACAAGTACTGTGCGTTTAGTATAATAATTAATTGACGAGGTGGTCAAGTCCACCATCCAGGTGTAAAACAGCTATCATATTGTGTTTATTATCTTCAAACAGGCTAGCTTTATAAATTAAATTATCAACAAATTTACCAACTCTCAGCGTAATGCAGTAGGTAAGGTTGTTGTAAATATCAATGCAAGACAGCTAGGCTCGGATTGCACTTTTTTCCCAAAAGTATTGCTTTATAATTATCAATCAAGTAAAAAGTTTTGTATCATTTATTGCAAAGATTATAATATAAATGCTGTGCTATTTTCTATTAACTTCTCATTTTGTTTTAAATATGGCTATATTTAGCCTTATTTAGCAAGTTGGTGCAAATTTACACGGAATGCATGATACTGTACAACTAAAGTTAAGTTTGTACGAAATACTCCTGCACTGCAAAAGTACTATGACTTCTACATACTACACACTATACAGGATAAAAATCACTATCAGCCGTGCATGTATATCTAAATTATTAAATATCATAACAAAACCACCTTTCTATTCCAATTCATTTTCTAATGTAAAATTAAAAAAAAAATATATGGTAAGAAAAACGCAAAAAAAAAGTGAGACAACTTGTGAGGCTCGAACTTGTGATAAAATTTAATGTGTATGACATTCGAATGACTTTACTAACTTTACCATCAAGACATTTCAAATTCTGTTTCTTATCTTACATTATATTCGCTTCTGAAAACCCTGTTTTACCTATTCAGACAAAGGTTGTTAACTTTAGTGTACATGTACAAAAGAAAATGTAAAGTCACTCTCACATTATCAAAGCGGCGTACTTATCGCTTACGCACGTAGTAACTAAAAAAAAATACTATCATTAACATATATAAAAGTGATTAAACTGTGAAGAAATACATATTTTTTGATACAGTAATATGTTTAAGAAAAGAAAACTAATTTAATAAAATAAAGTCGCATGCACAGTGCATCTATATCAAACAATTGTGTGTGTTGGAGTTGTATATATTTTATATATTTGATTTTTGCATATTAAAAGCAAGATTGTTTTCAAATGCGCTGCAAAATGCTTATATGCCTTAATTGACATCATTTTATCACATCATTCCGCCAACAAGATATAAAAGAGAACCAATGTATTTATAACTAACCATATTTATTCATGTCAAAATAAATGCGTGTAATTAAGGAAATTTGACTTTTCCTTGAGAAAGATTAAAACACATGATGTCAGTACGGATCGGAATATATGAGTCTGTGTAACTCTTCTTTACAAGTCAAAGTCAAAGTCAAAATATCTTTATTTTTCATCAGTTCACAAAAAGTGACAACATGATACATTCCAAAAATTATGAAACAATTAAATTCGGGTAAAAAATAGGACAAAGTAGGCTAGCAAAGATCGCATTTTAAAAAATGAGGATCCTTTCATAAAGAAAAGGAAAAGTTGATTTAAAGTTTCTTCTTTTGTATATAACTTCAGGCTACAAGAAAGTGTGAGAAAATTATTATATTCAAATATGACAAATTGATTCAAAAAACGATAAAATAAAAAACTTATAGGCGGAGAAAAGTTGATTAAAACGAAGTTAATGTACACCGAACGATTTTTATTATTATCTCAATTTGTCTTGATATGTCGATTAGGTTTTTAAATGAAGCGTTACGTAAGGCAACGCTCCTATTTTTATATTTACAGACTAATGCGCGTGTAGTCTGTGACCTATATCCGCGTGACATACCCAGTCTGAACACAAATGAGCCGCGTCACGACAAAACCAACACAATGGGCCCGCGACCAGCATGGATCCAGACCAGCCCGCGCACCCGCGCAGTCCGATCAGGATCCACGCTGCTCGCTAACAGTTTCTGTACTTGTAATAGGGTTTGTAAGCGCAGGCCGGTCCGGATCCATGCCGGCCGCAAACCCACCACGTTGGCCCCGTCGCGACACGGCTAAAATGATCTATATTATGTAACGCGGAATCGGAATCTTTCGCTTGAGTAATTTTAATTGTAAACGTTGTAAAACGGTATGTTTACATAAGGCGAGACGGAATTTTTTCTATCTTTTTTTTTTTTTAAATTAAGTTTCAAAAAGCTGTTGCACCAGTATCTCTTTACTTTTTGAAAAGGCGCTAGTAAGGTTTGACTATCGAATAAGATTAAGGTATGTTATGACTTTTCCGGCCATTATGGCTAATGGTGTCAAGATTGTTTCTGAATCTGAGGAAAATAATTCTGCGAACTTGATCACGTTTGGATGTCTATAGAAGTATGGCTTAATAAATCGCTTACAGACAGTACGTCCGTGTAATTGTCTTATTTTATTCACAAAATACAACAATGTATATACGTGAACTTACATCTATATTACTTGCTACCATACTTTGCTTCATCTATAACTGCTGTAAAGAGGGCACAGCTGCATTTCTGGAAGATTTAAACACGCTGTATACACTGTCCTGAAAAAATCATAATATAACTTCATCATAAACTGATAAAGAGCACATTGAAAATATTTCATAAGTGATCACATGTGCGAAAGTGTTAATACTGTAGGAACTTGTTCACTTTTATGTGCATGTGTAGTTATGTATGTTTGTGTGTTCGTGCGTGCGTGCGTGGGTGCGTGTGTTACCATATCGCTTTATGTGAAATATAAGTCAAAACATGGAATGTCGAAAAAAAATGTTATGTACAAAGGCTCTATACAGTTAATTTATGTATAACGAAATATTAAATAACTGTTTCCTCAAACAGGCGCGTGTTTGTGACTGACCCATGCGATATCACCTTATGCGTAATGTTTATCTTAAAAAGTAAACAAAATGTTTTAATTATAATAAGAAAAAAATATTCAAATTTTAATTATTTGTCCAATAAAAAATCCAATATAAATGTTGAAAACTCAGTTCATGTATATACAATTTAAAATCTGTGCTATTCTGAACAGCGTAGATAAATAAACCAAGAATATCGAATGAAAAAAGAGTTGTCTGTCCTGAATTGCGAGTAAACTCGATCTTGCTAATTACTAAATATGCTAAAACAATACAAACAAAACCGTTTTAAAACTTCTGGTTCGTTGCTATATTTTATATGCACGAGTTTTAAAATTCTTACACCGACACTAAGCTTCGTATCAATGTAAATATAAGCATATCTTTTGACATCAAGGGTATTTATCTGTCATTCTTTGTATTAATGTAAATAAAAAATTCTGACAAATATTTTCTTTTTTATTCATCTAAAGGTATGATGATATAAATGAAAAAAGAAATAATTGTTTGCTATTTTTGTTTCAGATTTGTATTAATTTATATATAATTAATATAAATAAGAAATATATAGAAACATGTGTACAGAAACTTAAAAAAAAAGTGAATAAAAATGAAAAGAGCAGAGTCTTTAAAGTGACTTATATTTGCATCAAATAATGGGGATTTGTATAAAAAATAAAAACTGTGAATATAAAACAAGTATTCTGCTCGTTGAATTCTCAAGACTGAGAAAGACGATTTTATCTAAAAATTTATAAACATGTTTTTTAGAAGTACTAATTAAGCAATTTTCTTTTAAAATATGTTAATCTGTTAAATCTCATATTTTTTGTTATTATATTGAATAGATAAAAAAATAACCTATTTTTCGGCTATCTATTTCATAAAGCACTATTAAAACAAATAGAATTTGAGTGTGTCTTTTCAGCTTGCTTGATTGCGCATTGACTCGCACCCCTGATTTTAAGTGATAATTGAGATCGCTCAAGATTATTATAAAGTCCAATCAGTTGACCAATCAAGCATACATAGGTCGTGACACACACACACTGATTAATCCTTTTTGTACTACCATGTCCAGGGGCTGTAATATCTTGACATCTTCGATGTTTAAATGTCGTAATTTTTAACGTGGTGTCTTTTTTACCCTAAAGGGAAGTTATGATTAACGTATTTTAGAAATAACCTTTTCTTTTTTTTTTTTTGCATTTTTCAAACAAATTATTTATTAAACAAGATACAGTTTAGAAATCAAAATCAAACTCGTAACCTCAGAGTCTAAATTTGGGGATATAACCCAGCTTTAATTATCTAATCCGGCGGCCATATTGAATAGCGAAACAGATTAAAAAGTGTTAAAGTTTTCTAAAACAAATCAGTTTAACCCTGAAATAAGCTGTTGTTCACAAAATGCAACTATTCTATTGATCGCATATTGATATTACAACGATAAAAAATAACTTTTAACCTACCTTGTTTTGCAATATTCTGAATTTTATTAACCATCCATTTCCAATCGCGTTTTTTCTTTTTTCGTTTCGCCCGCGCTATTTCTGATTGGTTGATAGGATTCACGTGATACAAAACCAACGCTTTAAACTCATTGGCTGTTGATATGCCTAGATACCGTTTTTGGGGAGGCTATGCCGACCCAATGTTAATAACCATCCGTCAAATCTTACTGCCGCGGTAATCAGGTCAAAAAATAGTACCCTTGATATTTTCTAAGCTGACTCATCACTCATCACAGACATTTACAATATGAAAATATTTTCATTCTTTAATTTCATATCTGCAATTTGTAAAGATAATAATTCTCTGAAAAATTCTTGATTTTTGTTTAAATCACTACTCCGTGACGTCATACTGCCGCGGTAATCAGGTTTTAGGCAAACGTACGTCTGTAATAAATAGTTCTGGTATGAAAACCCTTCAAAATAATAACTTTAATCAATATTTCTTTAACAAAAAGCATAAATGAAAAATTTATAAGTAAATGCTTTAATTTAGTGGCAAATATTCTTTATTATTTTTGATAACAATTTTCCAATTACTACGCAGCGACCAACTGTTTATGACGGGTCATTAACTAGAACGTTGCAAAACCGTATTCTCAATATCATGCATGTTCTTTTGTTGTTATAAACCATTAATAGTCCTTAATATTTTTAAAGACAAATAATTGTAAACTGTCGCTTACATCAGAGACATGGATCATGCTTGCATGATAACTAAGGAAAACTAACTTATTAGTACACCCAGGAGGCTGTACGCGGAAACGGTCATAAACCGCTATATCATTAGCTGTTAGTAAATATTTTGGATACATTTAACTAAAAATTCACTGATGGTGATGAACATATAGTTTGAAAACATTATATTCTTGAACCATTATCGCCGAAAAAAAACTATTTAACTACAAAACCCCTAAGGACCTCCGACAAAAATTCCTGCACAATATTACATTTTACATTAGGAAAATAAAAAAAAGCAATACTTATATTTTCATCTTACATAATTCATTAATCAAACTTTTAACATAAAAGTATCTTTAAAAATATGTCTGGCAATTGACAGATCCCTTCTCTGATCTTTTATTTGTATAGGAATAAATTTAAACATGTGCTCTTTTGTTTAGGAATATTTTGTAGTGAAAGTCTTATATATTCACTAATCTCATAATTAGAATTAGACAGGTCAGGGATTTATACAACCAGTTGTTTAGTTAACTATGCTCATTTTAATCCCAATAGAGACATTCAAATATTTGGGGTAAAAACATGACCAAAGTACCTAGTAGTCGTTTTACCCGGTGGTGATCCCATTAAACTGATTATAGATTCGAATTGATTAGAAAACACAAATAGAAACATGTGTTTCCGTAGCAACAAAAATCGGAAGTAAAGTGAACAATTGACAGAAATATGTGGTCCAAATATGTTTTAACAAGGAAATAATTATTTCAGAGAAAGACGCAAAGATCAGTATGACCCCGTATTGTGTAATTAAGAAAGTTTATTCAATTCTAGGGCAACGCATCATAATTTGAATAGTCCATGTGTAATAAAATTCAAATTTTCAATACAGATTATGAGATACATAAAAAATATTAAAGAATAAGAAGCTTTAATTAAAAAACAAACAAAAAAAAAACCCCAAAAAACCGCATACATATACAAATTACTTACAGTCGATCGCATCGGGAAGTCATTAACATATCTTACGAAACTTTAATTTGAAAACGATAATTGCGCGCGCGCTGAAGTGATTAATGTTTATTTGAAAAAAAAAAAAAAGAACGTTTTTTT